GAATTCAAGTTACCTTTTGTGAGATCATTTATCCGGGATGTGACAGCATTCAACTGGAAACAAAGAAAAGAATACGAGTGTCACATCACAAACTTGAGCTTTAGAAGAACTTTTCACCCCCTTACTCAACAAGCATGCACATGTTGGCTCTAAATCTATCTTTTATTAGTTTTGAGACTAGTCTGGGAGATGTCTTTGTGATCTCGAGAAATAAGAAAGATTTAAAATCTGTGTTTGAGGGAGAACATTGGGAAACGTTCATCACCTGTGTCTGTAGCTGGCGACAAATTGCAAAGAGTACTGTAACTTGATCCTGGTTCATCCTCTTGCGGGGAAAAAGCTAAACCATACGGAATAATTAAAAACACCTTTAGTGTTGTTGGGTGGTCTTAAGCATTTTTCATACGATTTTTTTCGATAAAACTTGCATAGCAAGCGTCAAACTTCACCCTATGCGGTTCGTCTAGGACAGCACACGCGTGGGAGAGGATACGCACGCGAGAGTATCATAGTGGGTGTCTCTATCACGTGTTTGCTCTCTCTCGCGTTTTGACCGCGTTTTTTACGAGCATCATTTACAATAGACCCTGAACGATGCTTCTTGTCCGTCAATGACATATAATGTATGTTAATTTTTCAAGCTTAGTGATGTATTTTAAGTTTCAAATAGGTTGTAAGATAATCAAGCAAGAGAACAGAAAAAGTAGAAAAAAATCTTTAATTTGGTCTTGAACATAGAATGTTTTATTTACCTTTCTGGCCATACATCCTCTCCTAAAATTAACAGAAAAAAAATAAATTCAAGGAAGTCTTTAAACGAAGTTGACACAAGTTGCAACATGCCGTGAGGCGAAGCGCGCGTGGGGCAGAGCCCCATACCCATGGAATATGGTCAACCTCTTTTCGTTTGTCTCGTGACTGACCGAGCGTAGGTACGTACGTGCCCTCAGATTGCACGGGTAGGGTAGGGGAGACTATTAAACGAAGGGAGGGGTGACTCAGGCAAGTCTTGGCAAATGTCCATCTTTTATGTTATCATTAATATTACGAACTTGGGAGCTCTGCTTTTAGGCTTGGCTAAATTTATATATTAGTGGGTTTTGTGTATAGTCCTTGATGCTCAAAAGCATCGTTCTATGATTATAATTAAAAATTAACTTAACAACTTCTATCACATCTTTGTACCAAACTGGATGTAGGTGACATCAGGACCCAATCAAACAGGTGCAAACATAGTTATGTGAATGAGATAAAATGAAGGGAATTATTTTAAGTAGTAGAATATTTAATATCATTTAATGGTTATCTCACCACCACGCCTGAATTTTGATGGATGCTTTCATTTGTTCTCTGTGAAGCTGTATCTCATTCAGTTTGGTCTGTTCCAGAATCTAAAAAAAAAAAAACACAAAAGACTTAACACCTGGCTATGTCTGTCATAATATGTATTATTAGCATTTCTATTATCGTTATCACTATTGCTATTATTATTATTACTATCATTATTGTTATTATTATTATTATCATTATTATTATTATTATTATTATTATTATCACTGTTGTTGTAACCATCAAGATATAATGATACAAGGCTTAAAAATATAATTTTCTGTAAACAGAGGTACAACAAGACTATTCAAAGATCAAAACTGTTACTTTATATACAATGTATATACCTGATTCCACAGATGCTTAATAGCTAACTTAAACTGTTCTCTACTTTTGACAGCTTCCTCATGTTCCCTTGAATGCCGGAAAGAAAAACCTTATTAGGAGAGCCAGTTTGAGAACAACTGACAAAAACTATTGCTAAGAACACTAAACAAGTCCATAAAAACACTTTTATGCCTACCTGTCTAATACACTGTACAAATGATTGATGAGGGACATCAACCTTTGCACTCTTAATTCATTCCTTATGTTGACAATTTTGATGTCTCTTGTACGAGCACGATATCCCTTCCTACAATGTTGAACAACAAAGAATCGAGTTTAGTAATTATAGCAGTGGCAAAGAAAGAGAGGATGAGAGGGCAATAAGAAGTGATTGAGGGAGGAAGTGGGAGTAGGGAGCGAAGAGAAGAAAGGGGTAGAGAGGGTAGAAAAAAAGGAAGGGAGGGAAGGAAAGCAGAAGACGATGGATGAGGGAGGGAGGAGTGAGAGAGGAAGGAGGAGAGGTGGGAGAGAATTGAGAGTAGGAGAGGAAAGAGGGGGGGTTGAGGTTAGTAAAGTAGGAAGAGGGAGGGGATGAGGTGAGTTTGGTAGGAAGAGGGAGGGGATGAGGTTAGTAAAGTAGGAAGAGGGAGGGGGTGAGGTTAGTAAAGTAGGAAGAGGGAGGGGGTGAGGTTAGTAAAGTAGAAAGAGGGAGGGGGTAAGGGTAGGCACTGAACCAGAAAGAACAGAGCAAATGAGGGTAGGAATGGAGAAAAGGAGGGAGGTGACGAAGGGAATGGGGAAGGGGAGATTAAGGGTTAAGAGGAAGAGAGAAGGAAGGTGCCCAGAGTAAGAAGGAGGGAGGGAATGAGAGAGGGCTTTAAGGTAGGGATGGAAAGAAGAAGAAGCTGGGGTGGGAGAGGAGAGAAGATGACAGTAAGTAAAGGTATGAGGTGAAGGGGGGAATCTGGAGTATGTGGGAGGGGGGGGGGGGAAGAGGATGAGTGAGGAAAAAATTTTTTTTAAAAAATTATAACTTCCTACCAAGCTGCCTGTATGCAGGCTGCTGCATATTTTCTTCGTCGGTACTGACAGAAGTCAAACTTCTTCCTCACCAGGTAACCTCGCACGTGAGCTTGAATTATGGTAGCTGCCAAACTGAATAGTCGGAGAGCTTCTTCTTCAGTCATAATGGGATCATCTGAGAAGATGAAACTTCACTTGATTAACTTTTATTTTAAACAAAGTTCTTTGATATTTTTAGGGAGGCTTTGCAAAATGATACAGCTTGCCTGATTCTGTTTGGTCTTCATCAGACAAAGGAACTGGAATGAAGAAGCTTTCTGATTCCAATAAGGTGTTGTTGTCTGGAAGAATAAAATCCAATGAATGATAATCAACCAAGAGACCTGTCAACAAGTGTGGAAAAAATGCGGGTATGGTATGCGGAAGCCTGTGTAATACCTGTCCATATTCTAAACACCCATGCAAGGCACATACTAGTAACTTAAACATTATGATATTTATTACAAAAAAAAAGAGTACTTCAAATAAATCCTTACTGAATTTTGTGATAATGCTGCTGATGATACTAGAAACAAACTTGTAATGTTTACCAAAACTCCTACCCTATGTGATTAATCATTCAGAATCATATTCAAGGGTTTGCCTACCCATGTCTTCCCTTGCTTGTGCTTCTGCTGCCTGTAAGAAACGTAAAAAAAAATACTGATGTTCACATAAAATGTCTTATAATTGGACCTGGTAGCACATAAGGTTTGTGTAAGGTTTCTGTACTGAGCACAGTACCTGGGGATCCTTCTGGGATCCTGAGAAAATATGATGTAAAATGGAGACAAGTTCAACATGCTCTCCTTGACAAGGATGGCCAATGCGACTGAATGCCTGATCCAGCAGTCTTGCAAGTATTCTACATTGAACATTAAAACAAACAGGATAAAAGAGAGAAATTTAAGGGAAAGAAATGGGACAATAGGGGGGACTAATTTTGGACAAGAAGTACATGGTACTTGAGAGTGGAATACATAACAAACAAATGTTAAAAGGAGAGCTGTTCTTAAGGGACAGGCAAATAAGACAACGGCAAAAAAGTGGTAGACCCACAGACTACTGGTTACAAGATTTAGTATACTATATATATTTCAAACAACCAGACAGAGCCCTAGGCATTGGACAAATGAAAAAATCCAACTGGCCATAGATAAGTATGAAGTTGCAAAAGAAAAAGAAAATGTACACTTGACAAATAATTGAAAACTGATGTCGTTAAAGGTGTACAGTAATCATTCCCACAAAGACTGACTGCTTAGCGGGAAAGGTTGCATGGGTCACCAAGATGAAGTTAATTTGCATAGTGAAAGGCACAAAATTAAACATTGTATTCCACTTAAATTTATAAATACCAGAGGATTCTATTAACTCACCTTTCATCATTGTGCACTAGATGTCCATCCAGATTCCTGAGGTTTCTACAGCAATACACCAGATAAGGCCTGTAGTTCACTTCTCTGATGCAAAGTTAAAGATAACCAAATCTTGCTGCCTCAAAATAATTAGTTAAAATAGGAAAAGCCACTTGTGAACCTTTCCTCATTTGTTTGAGGGTTAAGTTTGTCAGAGAGCCTGACAATCAGTAAAATATCACAAGTATTTGGGGGGGGAGAGGGTATGAACTTCAGTGTTGGACCTAAGGGAGGGTCCAGGGGGTCTGAACCTTCCCTCCCTCAGACCTGTGAGTATTTTCACCACTTTCTGAAACAAAAATTATTTCAATGCAGGATGGTATCTATTATCATTCAACTTGAAGTATAAAATCTTAGTTACGGTGATATGTTGAGAGATCTCTTAGCTTTTGTGTAAGTTCTGTGCCTTCTGAGACAAAGTTGGGACCCCCCCTTCAAAAAAATCCTAGATCCACACCTGAATCTAACATATCAAGGCTTTAGATACCTATCAATGTTATCTGGTAGCCATAACTATACTCTTACAAAAGATACAGTCTCCAGGTTCCATTAGTCAAGATGCACGGGTTATTCAGCAGAGACAACTGCTCCAAATTGATCAGGCATGACAAGTGTAACATCTGAAAGACATCAAGTGAATCTTGCTTGTTATTTTTGTTTTTTTCATGTATTTAGGAGTTCATGTACTCAATACACTGTACCTCATTCAGGTCTGATATGTCATTATCAGCCAGGGAGAGCGTGCAGACTGTGCATGATATTTGTTCTTTAATAACTGCAAGGGAAGATATCAGATTTCCATGCAGCAGTAAGGTCTGTGTAAAATGGAAGAATATTGAAAAGGTTAAAAACAAAGTAAATTTCTTAATCCCTAAGCTGTTACAAAAATAGCCATGCAGTCAATAATTTAAGTTGGAAATCATCCAATTCAAATGTACCTTTAAATTCTTGAGTGATTTCAATCCTGAGATGACAGCAATACTGAAATAAAACAGTATAAATTATGGTAGTCAATTTTACCAATTAATAAATATACACAAAATGTAATTATTTATAAATAATGGTTAATCAATACTAACATTATTTTGAAATTTGTATCAATATTATTATAACACTTAGTGCATTACATCCCTAGATGTTAGAAATTATTCACAATTTATTACAAGGTTAATATGAAATATAAACAGTAAAGTTTTAACCGCCTCC